TGCTGTATTGAAACTGATATATTACTATTCCACATAATTTCAGGCTGTCTCTGTATTTCAGCTTCGTATCAAATCAGCCACAGTCACGATCTGTCTCATTAAGTTCTCATTAACTCCATTGCTATATTTATATGTGTCGCAAGTCAGCTTTCTATAAGTACAAGGTGGGCCCAATATAGCAATCTCTAGCCAAGAGTAATATGCATTACAAAACAAGTAATTGGACCAAACTTACAAGAACAGGTAGACAGCAGCCAGAGTTTTTATTGTCCAGTATCAAGTAGGAATGGAAGCGTTATTCAAGCTCGAAACTCCGTTGCCTAGCGTAGATTACTCATATTTTGAAGACTATAACTGCCAAGGAAACTTGAATATTAACGTAATATTCGTAATGTCCATCTTCTAATGAACCTTATATAGAAATATTTTACTAAATTGTATGCCAGGCAATAGAGTTTCATGTTAATCCTCCTTGGTACTGTATCTATAAGTTTCTGGTGTAAAGCTGTGTATAATTACTGTTCACGTGCTGATATTGATCGCAGGCACAGAATAGTATTTTCAATACAATATTGGTTGTCGTACATTTAATTTTGAGTTGAACTTGATGAGTACAAAAAATTCTTTAATCCTGAGAGAAAGAATATGGAAACATGGAACTTGGTAATCAGTAATTATTTCATTCCTGGTAAATCTCGATAGTAACTTCCCTTTGATGGAGGAGTAAAAGTTCTTATTTTATTATCTTGATGTGATATTATGATCCTCTGAATACAGTGTTCTAGACATTATCCATGTATCTTTTATTGATCAACCTGTACAAAAATCAACATGTCACTTATTAAAATATAAACATAAATAGGCCTATATGAAATCGATGCTCCAAATTCCAAGAATCCTAAACCTAAACCACATAGAATTATTGAATTGAATATTATTAGGAATTATCCAGTTTAAAAAATTCTGTATTAAATATAATAAATTTTCAAAAATGTTTCATTTCTGTTATGTTTCATTTTCAGGTTCCCAGAGGATGGGTGCCGATGCCAAATTCCGGGCCACAAGTCGCAGCAATGGATGGGCCTGTCCTCCTCACCCCTTCCAGTTCATTGCCTGGGGGTGCATCTTGTATTTTGGCATCGTTTATTTCACATGTATCGTCCCTGGTTTTTTGACGGAATGGCAGCCTGCAGCGTATATTGTATCCTTTTAAAATATTTTTAGTAATCACGTTTATATATTAGTACATGTATTATGTATATTCAAGTATTTAGCTATTTCTGCATCTTTAATTGTGTAAAGTTCCCACTATCTCTTACATATTTATTTACCCTCATTCACCACTAACTATTCATCATTAATGATTACTGTCACATGTTTGAATTATACTAATTTATGTTAATTTATGAATCTAGTCACATTTTGATCAAAAATATTCAAAATTTCAAATTTTTCCACTCAGTAATTTTTTCTTGATATTTTTCAAGATTTTTACGTTTATTCCGAACTTAAAATTACCCCACATGATACATTTTATTTAATGCTAATTTATACAAATACATGTATATGCTAATTTATACAAATTTATGCTATTTTTATGTTAATTTATCCTTAACTCCAATCAGTCCTTAGGAGTTTTATTCTTCATACACATTGTGACGCACATCGCTGCGGTGTCAATCAACCCAGCAGATGATAACGTCATTGAACGATTTAGGACAAACAATAAAAAATTACCTGTGCTGGATCGACGGAAGCACAAACACGCCATAGAGAATCAACATTGCTATATATGTGAAGTTGACGTGTAAGTTTATAATTTGTAAAAAATTATGGTATTTATGTTTTAAATAGAAAATACAGTGAAAACAACAAGGGTTAAAGTACTGTTCATCTAAAGATATTTTGACACTACATTGCTTGATTGTTAAAATGAAGTTGGGTATGCCCTTACAAGGGAGATAAGTGCCAGTTCTTGTAACAGTGATTAAGATTACCTCGGAGCCAGTTTCTTGAAGAATGTTTATGTTTGATGATCATTGGCTGTGTCATAACAAATTAAAGTCAAACCATTTTCTATATTCCAGAGGATCAAGGTCTAAACATTGCAGCGCTTGTAACAAATGTGTAGCAGATTTTGACCATCATTGTAAATGGTTGAATAATTGTGTAGGAGGGAAGAATTACAGGTAAGAATGATTTTTATTTTGTGGTGACATATTGTTAAAGTCCCCAACTATTTTTGTGAATGGTGCTCAGTAGCTGGTGGTAAGTGGCCACATCTGTAACAAATGGCAGGTGGTGACATTTTGCGCATTAATGCCTTGTTTATCTTACATTTTATACAGCCAATACCCCTAAGTCAAATCTTCGATCTATTTGGTCATGTTGGTACCCAGAGATATTTTCATCAGTTATATTTTTGGAAGTATTTTAAAGCACTGTAAATTGTTTGAGAAGTGTTCACATAGAGAGGTGTTAGCATTTAGACGTGTTACATTGAAAATGTATTGGGAGGGGTTCACATTGAGAGGTGTTCACATTGACAAGAGTTCACATTGAGAGGTGTTCACACTGATATATGCCCTTAATTGTAGTATAACTGTTATCCATTTTTTACATTTTGTAGGTTGTTCATTGTGACGTTACTTGTGGCGTTCATCGGGTGCCTGCTTATATTTGGCCTATGCATATTCCAGTTTGTAGCCTATTACACAGACAAAGAGAATGGGCATCTTCTTAAACAGTATTCAGGTATAAATGAAGTAGACTACTAATCTTTTGAATTCTACTTAAAGTGGATATTTCCTGAAGTGTAAAATTTTTTTTCCGAGACTTCTCCTGAGAAGGGTATTGCTTGCATGCCAACCAGGCCATTGGTCCATCTATCTTGAATATGAATTATAGAACATGCAGTTATACCATAAACTAGCTGTACTCTTGTAAATGGCCAATATATGCTTTATATTTTACGTTTCAGATTTTAACAGTGCACATGCTGAAATCACAAACCTCACAGTGTTAGCTAACATGAATAACAGTACAGCAGGTCAGTATAGATGACGTTGTAGGCATACTTTAAAATGTGAAATAGAGTGGAATGGAGTGGATTTAGAAAGGAGTAAATTATAATTAAGTACATTAAACAGTCAACATTGCAACACATGAAATTGTATATAAGTATATGGCTAGCTGTGGGGTGTGATGTGCCACTCAGAAGTACAGTTAAGTGGAGCACCTTAGAAGTGGAACACCTCTAGAAGTGGAACAACTCTAGAAGTGGAGCACCTCTAGAAGTGGAACACCTCTAGAAATGGAACACCTCTAGAAGTGGAACAATTTTCAGAGTCCCAAAACTAGCTAACAGAGATCACGGTAGACGTTCGCCATTCGCCAATTGCGAATTTTCGAAAGAGGTGGCGAAAAATATGTAAAGGTATTTCGCAGTTATGGCGAATTAGAGGTGTCACGGTTTCCCGATATTGGACCGAATTTCGGTCCAGATGCTTCGGTTCGGGACATGGGACAGAAAGGGTTAATATCGGTACATAGATTCCTTCACTAAAATGCATAAAAACGTGTATAAATAGCGAGGAACACCTCCGATTTCGTTCTGAAATATTTTCACTTACCTCGTACCTAGATTACACTTCTTTGCATTGAAAAGTGTTATTAACGGACCCGCGATTTCAGGTAGATGGTAATGCTTGTTCGTAAATTTCTTCATCGTCGTTCGCAAATCTAGTGCATTATCAGTATGCCGGATGTAGGAAAGAAATTGAAAAATCGAGCCGGCATCTTAGTCGAAAAAGTCGGCAGTTTGGAAGTATTTTGGGACTCCGATATCACAAGGTAAACGAATTGGTAATATTACACCGTGCAGACTATGTGAAATGCCGATCACATTCGCGGCAGATGCTTTACATTCAATTTTAATGGACGTTTTTTTATTCCTGAATATGATTTTGAAAAGTGAAACTGAAAGTGAAACTGTCATCATCAGACATATCATCATTTTTAATGTTCTGTCCCGTCCCGTCCCGAAAGTAACGTGTTGAGACCATTTGTACCGTTCCGTACCATACCGAAATTTTCTTGGACCGTGACACCTCTATTGCGAATTCCCTTTTTTACGGTTTTTCAAAATGGCTAATTCATATTTTGGTTGGCTAAAAATATTTTGGAAGATTTAGCCACAATGGCTAACAAGTTTTTTCAACTATCGTGATCTCTGTAGCTAATATTAAATGAACCTCTATAAGTAGAACACCTCCCAAGAGGAACAGTTTTTAGAGAAACCAGATGTGATCCAGTTAAGCAGGTTTTACAGTATATGGCTGACTATTGGGTCACTCAGTATCCATGTGAAAAGTAACATCTGAATTCAGATTCTAATTTTCAGCAATTTATTTATATACTTTACTTTATTTTCAGCACCAGAGTTTAAACTATTATATTTATTGGTCCCGGATGAGGCTTGGCTGTCAGTTCTGGGGGTCACAGCAATCTTGGTGCTTTCTGGGGCAATACTTTTAGGGCATCTTCTGATATTCCATGTATATCTGAGTAAGTTCAACATTTTAAGTTAAGCACATTATCCATCCTAAATGTTTTACACTTCCCTCCATAAGTTTGGCAATTGGAAGTTACAATAGTTTGGGAATTAATGAAAATTTTGAAGATTTTCTTTGCCAAACATAAACACGTTTAAGTTTCAGAGAAATATTTGAAAGTTCAAATTCAGAAAAATAGGTTTTTCATTTCTTCTTGCACATGTATTTTGTAATTTTTGGGCTTTTTAGTTATTCATGTACTTTGGAATCTATTGAAATATTTTGTTTGATTTTCTTTGTAATTTGAATTGAATATAACTAATTAAAAGAACTAAACAAATTGAACATTTTCAATGAATATAATTTTCACAATTATATATTGAAATTGCTTACAGTGTGCAAAGGGATGGGAACATACGACTATATCGTTGAACAGAGAGCTGAAGCTGAAAAAGAGGCTCGCGATAAAGACATCGATCTTGAAGAACCGCAATATGAATATAATAGCAGACATAAAAAGGTATAAGACATTTGTGTAAATAAAAACAAAAATCAGCCAAAATGTAGACAAAAAATAAACGTTAATGAATGGTTTTCAATATATACCAATTCTGTATGTTCTTAGAATTTTCTGATTTCATGCTTTTCTCTGAATTCTTATTCCAAAGGAGGAATCACTGAGGGATTAACGGGCCGTGAGGTCATGCTCTAAGTCATGCAGAAAACTTGTATTGTCAAACGCTCCTTGAAAACTGTAAAATATTGTATAAGAAAAGCGTAAAATTGAGCATGATTTGAGTAAATGCTCAAGACAGATTTTGAGACCCCTTGTACACTTACATGATGTCATACTATGATGTCATTATGACATCACTTGGATTGAATCTCCTTTATTCCAGATTTGTTCTCTCCCCACACTTAACGAGTCTCCTGAACTTTCCACCGCAACTTCTCCCAGCTCTATACCAATGGTTGACCTTGTTAACATAAAAAAAATTCAAAATGGCCATTGACCTATCCATCATTATATATTTTTTTTATATGCATTCCTTTTTTTCAAAACATAATTCTTCTGAAGAAAAAAATTTAAAATGCCTTCTGATCTGACAAAACTTTTTTTTTCTTTTTTTATTTGTTTTATATTCATTTGATATTCAAAGTTTTTAAAAGTTTGTCTCTAAATCCTCTCATCACATCACCTTTTAGCATTTGCATTATTTTAATGTTGATGAATTCTAAAAAAACATTATTGTTCTTCAAAAGTTTTTCCATGAAATTTCAAACAAGTTTTTAAAATGTCCCACGAGAAAATCCAAATTCATAATATTCAAACTGTATTATCATTTTTTATGTAAGTTTAAAATACAATGAAGTGAAATACAATAAATATGCACAATATTTTAATATTGTATATATTGTTATATGTATAATGTACAACTTTGGTTGATTACATTTCATGATTTAATCAAAATTGAATATGTTAATATAAATCTCAAAACCATTAAGTACTAATTTATGTAAAAAAATCTTAAATGCCATTTCCTTGATGAAGAAACATTAAAAACACTTTCAAAACTGTAACCGATATATACCATTAGAAAGCAATCCCTAATTAATTATCTACGAACATCTTAAATGGAGCACAACCAGAAGTTGGAAAAAACAAGGATGGTACGTTAATTTTATCTAAAGGCATGATCCCTATATAATTTTCATATAAGGTTTTGATTTCCATATAAGGGTTTAATTCTGGTTTGATGTCCATATAAGGGATAATATAAGGATTTTGGTTTTTAGAGTTTTCGCTATTCTTAGGTAGGCAAAGTAGAAATAATGATTTAAGATTATTGTCTCTACCTCATCTACATTAAATCACAACTGCAATTTACTGTTATCTGATTGGTTCCTCAGCATGAACCAATCTTAACACACAGACAATAGCGAAAACTTTTATCATACATGGTTATGGGCTTTTTTCACAAAACTGAGCCAAAATGAGAGGATTTGCAGGAAATGTTGAAAGTTTGAATACAAAGTTTGTAATGTATACAAATTCAAGAAAATTCGACATGACCATATAAAGGAATATTTTTTAGAATTGAAGAATTTCAAGACCCCTTATATACCCATCAATTATAAGTTCTTTTTATTTGCGACCCACTAGAGCAAAATTTTCTTTCAAGCTTTGGATTGATCTTTGGTTGCAAAAAGCACTTAACTTATATCACAACATGATGACCATGTTTTAAAATGCAAGATAGAGTGGAAATGGGTGGAAATAGCAAGGAATAAAGTAAACAGGGATGTAATTAACACTCTAAATTGTATAGAAATGCAAGAAAACCAGACATTTCAATAAAATTTTTAGAGAGAAATTAGAGGAATTAGCAAGGAATAAAGTAAACAGGCATGAAGTGAAAACTCTAAATTGTAAAGAAATGGCAGAAAACCAGACATTTCATTCAAATCTTAGAGAGAAATGAGTGAAATTTGCATGAGCAGACGGACATTTTCTTAACATGGGTAGAAATGAAATTGAGTAATATGAATGGTTGTTAATGAGTATAATAACCTTAGTGTAATGTGATGCTATTAAAAAAGAGGTGTTTAATCCATCCCTTGATTTTTGGGACCACTTATGCATCATGGTCTAGATTAATTGTGGCCATATGGCAATGTCAGTGCACTCTCCATGCAGGATTCTATTGTCATGTTCTATCAAATTCTAGACCCTGTCATGGAGAGTGACATTGGATTCAATTTTGTAATATTTCGAATTCAATTTTCAACATTAAGAAATGAAGGACACAATTTTAACATAGGTGAAAGTCACAAATATTGCATTGCATGAATTAGTTATGTTTTCTATAGAATGAAATAGCACTTTTTGATTTTATGTGTTAACATCCTAGAACTTTAAAGGTAGAGCAATAACTTCAAACACACACATTGTAAATCAATAACTAACTGATTGAATTAAAAAGAATGAATTGCTGATCAATTTGTTCTAGGTTGAACTATATACTTCAACTGTTTTAAGTGTTTGCTTTAACTGGTCTAATTGTATACCCTAACTGGTTCATACCTTTATACCTTGACTGGTTTAATTGTATACCTCATCTGTTTTTTATATACCTCAACTGGTTCAATTGTTTACCTCATTTTTGTTAAATTGTATACCTCAGCTTGTTTAATTATATACCTCAGCTGGTTAATGCTTCAAGTGGTGTAATTGGTTATCCCATCTTACCCCATAAAGAATATCGAAGTTTCCATTTACAGTTGAGGTATAGAATTTACCCAGTTGACCCCTAAAGGAGTCAACAATCTTGTCATTCTTTTTGTGATGTGTAATTATATGCATAGTGTCGCATTGTGTAAAGAGGCATGCAGAAAATATCCAACTATATTTTACGAGGGGTGATCCAAAAGTCTTGGACGCCCCACTCTAACTTTGCTATTTTTTAATATAATTACATGAAACTTTCAGATAATAAAGATCAACATCTTAACAACTTTGTGTATAAGTTTCAGTAGAAAATAATATATTTTAGCTTCTTTTCTAAATATTTTTTAATACCGGGTCCCTGCCACCCGGAACGGTATTTAAATATAGCAAATCACGTCACAACTATTATAATATTGCATATACTTTAGGTGCAGGTGCACAACCTAACACCAGCCATGATATGAGAGAATTTTCGATTTTCAATCTGAGTGTCATCTGCCATCATCATCTTCACATATAAAGACCTACTTTTCAACATATTTTCCACGAATTTGAACTCATTTTTCATACCACTTTACCAATGAATGGAAGACATTTATGAAACCGCAATTGCTTATGTACTACAAATGCTGCTGGAGTTCTATTCTTAACCTCATCCAATGAGTAAAAAAAACATTTCAACCCTCCTTTCAACTTGGAGAAAAGGAAGAAAATCACACAGAGCCATATATAGATTGACATATCGTGCATATGGTAGCTGCTCAAGGTCAATAATAGTGAAAATATCTTGTAGTATTCTTTGTTCAACTTTGATTTCTTTCGTGTTCTGCATTTCAGCAGCCATCTTGCAGCAAAAATGATACCAGAATGAGGGTTGCCTGTCTGATGGCATTTTCTTAGAATTTGACATGTCAACCATTGTCATATGTGACATTATAATTAAAACACAATTAATTGGCTGCCAAGTAACAAAGGAAGTAAACTAACATGGTTTAAGATTCAAAATTCAAAGAAATATAGTGGCCAAGGCTTGCGAAACAAGTGAAATGGCGGTTACATTTAAGGCTAAAAGTTGCCATGTGCGAATACCGTTCCGGGTGGCAGGGTCCCTGTATTAAAAACTATCTAGAAAACTATATAAAATATATCATTTCTCCATGAAATTAATACACAAAGTAGTTAGGTTGTTGGTCTTTATTATTGTAAAGTTTAAAGTAATTTTATCAAAAACCAACAAAAATAGAGCAGGGCGTCCAAGACTTTTGGATCACCCCTCGTATATGCAGTGTTTTCATCAAGAATTTTCATCTAGTGCATGAAAAAGTTTCACTAAAAAAAATTTTTCTCATTAAGTGGCCAAGAGCCTTTTATAATGTCACCACCAGAAGTGGTGTCAAAAAACGGTAGGCTGTTTTTGGATGAAATACAAGCCTATGGTTTTATACTGGGTCTCTGCCATACAAATTGTAGCCCCCAATATTTTCATCGAGCCTTGGGATAAAAACACGGAGAACTCTTGTACTTCATTAAAAACACAGAGAACTCTTGTACTTTATTAAAAACACAGAGAACTCTTGTTCTTCATTAAAAACACAGAGAACTCTTGTACTTCATTAAAAACACAGAGAACTCTTGTACTTCATCAAAAACAAAGAGAACTCTTGTACTTCATTAAAAACACAGAGAACTCTTGTACTTCATTAAAAAAACAGAGAACTCTTGTACTTCATTAAAAACACAAAGAACTCTTGTACTTCATTAAAAACACAGAGAACTCTTGAACTTCATTAAAAACACAGAGAACTCTTGTTCTTCATTAAAAACACAAAGAACTCTTGTACTTCATTAAAAACACAGAGAACTCTTGTACTTCATTAAAAACACAGAGAACTCTTGTTCTTCATTAAAAACACAGAGAACTCTTGTACTTCATTAAAAACACAGAGAACTCTTTTTCTTCATTTTCATGTTTTAGAGGCTGGTTCAGCATGTCTGTAGAAATAAAGTAAATAGCCAGTATATATGTATTCACAGCTATATTAGTCAAAGTTAGGCGCACCCTGTATTTCATATATATTCACAGCTATATTAGTCAAACTTAAGTGCACCCTGTATTTCTCGCAAGTATAGCACCATTTACAAAGTAATTGATCACCCTGTATATTGTACTTTTAATTGCACTTCCTATTTTGGGTCACCCTGTATTAATATGCCCTCATGTTTAATTTGATTATCCTCATGTTTCAGAGGAATAGGGTTGAACCGGAGGAAAGACAGGGGCAGACTCAGCTACAGGAGGACAGTGGAGAGGAGACAAGGTGAGCCAATTTTTTCAAAAATATCAATTTTTGTCACACTTTGAAAAAATTGCAGGTGGGTGGTCAGCACATAAATCTTGTCACTAGAATTGAGGAGAAATCTACTTCTCAGGCCCGTAGCCAGGGGGGTTCGCAGGGTTCAGGCGAACCCCCCCCCCCCCCCCCTCTTGCCAAAATTTCTTTCAAAATCATGCAGTTTTTCACCATTTTGAGCACTTCACAAGTGATTTTAGCCATATTTGGGCAAAAATTGTCAAATGCGAACTCCCCCTGAAAATTTTTGAAAACTGAACCCCCCCTTGGCAAATCCTGGCTACGGGCCTGCTGTTCATTTTGACATTTTTACAGATGCAAGACAAGTGCCAAGTTCTGATTAGGTTTTAAGCATGCTGGGTAAATTACAGGGTGTACTATTGTAATCGAAGTATATAGATGACAGGGGGGGCAATGTTGTCCTTATAAATAATTGAAGGAAGTACACCCGTGCCATTATTTGTCCAACAATTACCTAAATTGACAAAATTGCTTCCCTTTCTTCTAATGAATACGATATCGAAATGGCTAGATATTGGACTTAAGACTCTTAACTACCCTGAGACTGCATGCTGAGTTTTACATTACAGAAATGAAATTTGGACAGTCAAATTTGAGTCAATAACAAATTTGAGAGTCTAAAGAAAAAATAAACTTTGATATCCCTCTGTGATGTCATCCCAAAGTTTTGATTGAGTTTTTGGGCATAATTTCCGTTAACATACAGCTAATTTTCAGAAACTTCTCAAAATTTGCTTTACAAATATTGCTGTTTGCAAAGTATGACATCTTAAACTCTTGCCTTGGTTCACCAAAAGGGTCAGAATATATTGGAAAGGCCAATATTGTTTTCCTTATCTAATAAGAAAAACTAGACATTAAGGTGAGATGTCTCTTTTTAAAACAACTTCCCAACTTAGATCAAACTGTTGTTATTATCTTCCAGAGAACAAACTAGACATTATGGCGGAAGTTTCCGGGAGTACGAGAATGCACTGAGTGAGGCGATGTCAGAGGAGCAGAGAGAGAGAGGAGAAACCCCACCCCCTCCTAGCAACCCTCCCCTTCCAGTGGAATCACCCCCACACAGCCCTAGGGTAAGTCTTTTGACTGACAGCCTTGAGATAATACTAGGGGTGAGACGAGTCGAAAAAATCAGATTCGAGTCGAATCCGATTCGAGTCAGAAAATGACGATTCGAGTTTCGAATCCGTTTCGAGTCGCGCGAAGTGCGAACAACATCGCTTTTGACCGTTCGTATTTTTAATGCGTCAATGGTGGAAAGCCGGAAATATAAACAAATACAATTCGTCGTAAGTTTATTCTGATTTTATTACATATATTCTTTCATTTATGTGTACATACAATATAATAATTTAATACAAGCATATCCAAGTCATTGAAACTTATATATTCAACGCAATATCGAGTAAAAACATGCATATTGACAGTATTTTTCTGAATTTTTTTATTTTTTCGAATTTTTTTCTCAACTCGAAAATGATTCGATTCATCAACTTCGACTCGATTCGACTCGACTCGAAGCCCCAAACCCGCGAGTCCTTGACTCATCGGGTTGTCGTCTCACCCCTAGATAATACCAACAACAGGTTAATTATTTATTTGAATTCTGAATGATTTGTTTATTTATTTATTGAATCATTAGCAATTTCTACAGTATTGGTACGATTAAATGCATTTGGTGATGGAAAGTCACATCAAAAGATTGTATTGAAACTGTATTTATTTAACTGTATACTAGTATATCTAGTAATCTATTTTTTATTTTTATTATTGTCAAAAGATATTGATACTGAAAAAATACCAAAGATTTTTCATTATGAAATTTATATTTCTGATCCAGGGCAAGAAAATGAAAAAGAAGAAAAAGCGAAAGAAGATGGTGTCACAAAAGAGACCCCTTGAAAGGACAGAAAGTGCTGAACAAGACACGTCATTTCAGTTAAGGTCGTCAAACAAGAGGAATTCTAAAGGTCATGTTGCTGAGACAGATCTGCCCTTAGGTAATTATAATTCACTAACAATAGCCATATTTACGTTGTATTAATTTCATTATATAAAACATTCCAAATTGACTAAGCTAAGAGCTTTGAAATTTTTTTTTTCAAAATGTCTTACAAAATATTTTTGAGTTTCCACTCATTAATTTCCCAAGACATCTTGAAGGTAGGTATGCCTTCAAAGAACCATCTGATTGTCACTGGTTGGAAGACTTTGAAGTCATGGATTAAATCAACATGAAGAATTCATTAAAACCAAGACGTCTTACGACTCAAGTCCCAAGACATCTTAGACCACCTAACCAAGATTATTTAGAGTTTGAATTATATACAAGAAATCATTTAGTTGAATTACTATGTTCCTGTATTGGTGTCTCATTGGAAATATAATATCATTTCAGAGTTCGTATTCAAGGTATACTATTTAGGGGAATTTTAAAATGCTTGTTTTTCTATTTCAGGGGGGACAGGAGTATATACCCCGAGGGGTTACACGGCGAGGCTTGATATGCCTCTTACCCCAATAACAATTAGATCCCCTCCATCTCCAGAAGTTCCGATAAAACCTGCCATGGCAACGGGAGAATATCATAGTGACTCCGCCGAATCTTTAAATGAAATTCCACTCAATCTTACTCGCGCTGGCTCCATATATGGGCAATCGCAGCAAAACAGGAATAATTTGCAGTATCAGAATTTGCAGTCCTCATCCTCTGCAAAACTCCTTCCAAATAGGACTAAAAATCCAGATGAACTAAATGAGGACCATGAAGATGAAATAAGGACTCCAAAACCTGCAAAAAGGAAAACAAAATCTGGGTTTAGTCCAGAAGAAAGTTTCAATACAACTACAAAGTTTGCAGTTAATGTGACAGCCAAATGTGACAAGGATGGGTCTCTTATATATGGCGATAATGAACAAGATAAGAAAACATTACCCATAACTCCTATTCCACAAAGGAGGTCCCCTAAAGTGCCTCCTCTGGATTTGTCAGCTTTAAAGCAAGGCAGTGCTAGTGAAGAAGAAGAGACGTGAAATCTTGACCAATGAAAAAATTCATGTGTTTTTTCATGAAAAAATATGAGAAAAGGAATTAATAGGAAGAATCAGATCTTACTTCAATATGTGCAGATTTCAGAATGGATATCTTCATCATAGGAAAATACTATGAAATGCACCTTTGGAAATACAAATTTTCCATCAAGTGAAAATGTGAATTTCTGAAAGATAAGCCACATACCAACAAACTTAAAGTTTCTATGAATGTTCATCTCTCTGGTAGTAATGTACAAAGTTGTTGATTTTCTTTCTCAGAGATATTTATTTTATTTTTATTTTTAAATATATATAAATAAATAAATATCTCTGAGAAAGAAAATCAACAACTTTGTAAACTTAAAGTTGTTTATTTTGAATATTTAGAATAGGGATATATGTTAGATTCATTTTGAACAGATGAATATAACCTCCATGGTTTTCTAGTAAGGTAGTCAATGTTCCCAGACACAATGTTACCATGGAGATATCCCTGACACAATGTAACCATGGAGATATCATTTAATACAATCTTACCATGGAGATATCAACTTAACTTCAGGGTATTGTATTCTATAGTACTACCAAACAGTTGCAATTAAATGTAAAAATGTGTGCGTAAAAATTTTCATGTAACAATTTTGACTGTTATCTATTTGTTATAACAATTGAAAATGCCTTATTGGACATAAACCCCCCCCCCACAAAAGTATGACAATCTTGATATCCATTGCATATTTGAGTCATCAAATTATCCTATTTGTGAATGTTCAAGTCTTTTATATTTGGTCTTTTTTGTATTTTGTTAACCACCAAGGAAGGTGAGCAATAGCTCTTGGGTGTATCCCATATATCTATGGTCATAATTTACGTAATTAACCTGGGAGATAGACCTAGAAACCCCTCCTTGAAGGACCCCAGTGTTCTTTTATGTGCACTTATACATAGACATACAAGTACATACCACAGCCTTTTGTACGAGTTGCGGACAACTTAGTCAAACACCCTGAAGTACTTCACACAAACAAGCAAATGAATTTTTTGGGGGATATTTGGTCAGAACTTTTATTGATGATTAATTGATTAATTAATTAATCACCAATCATGAACACCTGTGGTCAAAATTGAGGTGTACTAGACCCCCCTTTTCATCCCCTTGTGTGGCCTCTTCAGAATTTTTAAGTCAAAAGGGGCACAGACATTGCGATGGTGGTCAATTATTAGAGTTCTTGTTGTCATACTTTTGTTGGGGATTGTAACAGTGTTCATATTGAGGTTAGTGAAATTGAAAGAGTTGTGCAACATAAGATATATGATTTGTAATAAGTATATAGTTTATATATAGGAGAATATTATAGATTACCGGTATTTAGTGTAGCACCAAAGCAGTCTATTGCACAGTCTTTGGAAATTCCGTATTGGCTTTAGTTACTTGGGGCTATACGAGAGACTAAACCCTTGGTAATCTGTGAATACGAATGAACCGTGTCATGAAAAATGAGTTGTATCACACTTGTAAAATGGAATAAAAATCAAAATTCTAATGAGAGCTTGCACCAAAACCTAAATTATATTGCCACTTTGTGAAATTTTGGAGAAGTTAGCTGAGGTTGTTATGGCAATTTAACGCTTTTTGACGTCCAATAATAAAACAAAAAGAGAATTTTTGTGATGAAACCCCTTTTGTCATGACCAGGCTCTAATACTTTTTTTATGAAACATGTATTTAAGTACTATGTTATAATATGTACTGTATGTGTACTAATACTGTATTATAAGTACTGCATTTTATGTAATGTATTATACTAGGTACATATACTCTATTATATGCACATTTTACTCTATATTTTACAGAGTATAGACTATTAGGAGTGTTAAAAAGTGAGTGGGAAATGATCCCAATTTGAGAAAATTATATTGGCAAACGCTTTATTTTTCATTTTATTTTATTTCTTAGTATTATTCTATTATTTTCCGTCCGAGAAATCTTAGTCATTCTTTTATACAAAGAAGCATAGTTTTGCCAAATTATTTAATCTACTTGCTCTTGTCTTATGGTTTGATATGCTAACATTATTTTAGTTTAGCTAGGCTGTATTAGCATAAGTAGCTCCATGCCATGGTAGTTCAGTTTTGAATGCAGAAAAGGGAGTGTTGAAGAGTCAAAAAAGCATTTGATAAAATAAATATCTGTAAAACCTGACGGATAGGAACAGCTCTCTTAAAGGTCAGGGTGCATGTTCGGAATTTTGCTGCATTCCTCAAATTGAGTCATATGTTATTTTTCAAACAGGAATCACTCCTTCCCCACATAGTCTACATCTTTCAGTTTTGCACAAAGAGTGCACTTATGTGCCTAGAAAAGACTTGTGAGATGTGTTTTGTAAAATGTATAAAAAACAATGAAAATGTGACTCAATTGAGGAATGCAACAAAATTCCGAACATGCAACCTGGCCTTAAAGGAACACTTCTCTACAAGAAATTGAAGGACCAGTTTTCCAAGGAGTCAATTCCATTCACTAAGTTGTCAATAAACTTTTACTTTATGAATGCCAGTTTACAATGAATAAACTTAAGCCAGTAGAGAGGATGCCCTATTTATGCAGGTTTTACGATATGTAATACTAGAATAGTACTGAAAACTTTATAGAAATCCAGAAAAGGGGAATGTCCACTCAAATGTTTCGTTACAGTACATTTACCTGACATGGGATTACTCAAATTTATTGCAGTCTATAGTACGATATTCACATTTAAAACTCCTAGTCTAAAAGTCATTATAAATTAGTATTTAGTTTATTTAGATGAATTAAGATGGGTGCAGTAGGAAAAGATACATAAGTAGAAATTTTTACTCTGCCTTCCTAAATCACTTATTTTATATACTAATAAATACTTTTCTACATGTATTTACAGAAAGTTTAGGTTTTACAAAATATGAACTTGTATAATTGAATGGTCCACATTCGTTAAAAGTGTACTTGTCGTCATTGTCAAGGCATTGGCATTGGCATAATTGGCATATCCCACTGATGGACATGTTTTAATATTGGCATCTAGCTTTCGTTTGGTATATCAGATATAATTTTATTATATGTATTCTGTGAAATGTGCTCTGTATTGTGTGTGTTAAATTACATATTCTGTCCTTATGAAATCTGTCAAAGTTACAATTTACTAGCATGTTTAAAATAAATATTTTTATATTGAATCAACATGATTGTAATGTTTTAATTTTTCTACTTCAATCTACTAGATGCTTCTTGCCTATTATATAGCTCAGAAATAGAGTACTGTATGTAGGTCTGTATGTTACTATGTACACGGTGACTATCCAGGCCCCGCTGACATCTCGAGCATTGAGCTTATGTTAGAAGCGGGGCCTTGAAAAATATGATTAAAAATAGTTATAGTTGAAGAACGTCGTTACCCTGCAATTGAAATAGCCATTGCATTATGAAATAAAGTTGTACTGAGTTTCATTTATTAAAATTTCATAGAAATTCAATTTTATCATACTCTCAAGCATGTCAAGGCCCTGCTTCTAACATGACTGGGGAGCTTATTGTTCGCGATGTCAGCGGGACCAGGATAATCCACGTGATGTAGGTCGTAGATTGTGGTCTGCACTGTGTGACTACACCAGTAGTAGTACACATAATAGAACATGTAATGTGTTATGTAGTGTAATTGCCATAACAATCGAAGCAATAGAATTGTGACCTTAGATTAGTTGTAGAAAAAATATCAATACTGCTATTTTTATATGATGTAATGTTACATTTTATTGCAATCTACTTTTGTTCCAAAATTAGAAAAATTGAGATTGAGATGGTCAGAGACTTATAAAACGTTTTATAGGCTATGTCTCTGAGATGGGCTACTCAACCAGCATAATTCAATTGATATTTATATTATTATTTGTGCTCAAGTTGAAAATAGCATATTGTTCTTCTGTAGAATGAGAAATGTTTGGTTCAACAAAAGCTGCCCCAATTGTTTTGCAATACACTAGGGTGTCCCAAAAAATCACTTTTTTGGAGTTGAGCTTAGCACAGTTGGGGTTTGGTTCCTTTTGGGGAGTTTATTAAGTGTGTAAAATATTATAGAGACAGATCGATGTTTCAGTTGTTGGAATTAGACCTAAAAATGTAACGTTTTTGGCAAAAATCGCACTTTTTGACCAGATTTACTGAAGAATAATGGAAACCTACCTCACCTTCTGTTCATAAAAATGAAGGCTAAATGAAAGGTTGTGCACCACATTACCACTCTAAGTAAGAATACTGCTGAGATTTGGGTATATACCCTCCAAAAAGACTCTGAAATGAGGCTAAAAATGACATATTTTAAGATTGAAATCAATGGGTAACATTCATACGTATTACAAATGTTTTATTTAGCTATAGATATGCAGATCACATAAGTAAGTTCAGATCAGTTCTTCAGGTCAGTTCTTCAGATAAAATTGTCCATATTGTCCATTTGTTGTTTGTTAAACCTGCACATCGCTCCAAAACGCAATATGTTGACATACAGGGTGGGCCAAAAAAAACCAATACCCAACTTCAAATCAGGATAAAAATAGTTACATTCAATATGGTACATTGACTTACATATCATTTTAAAGGTTATTCAATTTCAAACAATTTGGTATATAACACTATGTCATGAAATCAATAGTAAAGTTTTATTATACTTATTTCGGAGGCCGAGTTGCTATTTAAGGTCTCCAGATTTAAGGGAGAAAAAAGTAAATCTGCGGAATTATGTTAATTTTTTATTTATAGAATATCATTCATTTGTTAGGTGAATACATGCTTTATATTGATATTTGCATCATTGTGTGACTAAACTTATTGTTTATGAATTTCAGTGTTGTTTAATAACATTTTACACTTTATTTATCTAAACAATTTTCACAATTGCTCAATATACCCCCACCCCCTCCCCTCTGAATCAACAATAAGCTTCAAGTGGTAGTGTAATCTATCAATAGCCTTATTGAGAGATTTCTGTTGCAATTCATTTCTGCACTTTAGGATTCTGTTTCAACTCATCAAAGCTGTTTATTGGATGCTTTTGATTGTACCATTTCCTCGAGATGGCTCCATGTATGGTAATCAAACACATTACATCTAGCATCAGGGCTGTTGGGTGGCCGAGCATCGAGATCAATCAAATTGACACCTTGTTTGCAAAGGAATGCCAATGTCTCCTGAGATCTATGGTACGAGGCA